TCTGTATTGGAGGTCGATGTTTGAATTTTCTCCATATTGAATTTTCGGAGATATTCGCAGAGCTTCTCGTAACTTATGACGTCAGTATCAACTGTGTTGAGATGAGTTCTTGCTGCTTTAAAACGTTCTTTGAGACCTTCCTTCAAGACGGTCTTCAAGTCAATCTCAGACGGTGGAGCCTCGCGTTTCTCCAACTACATTTTCTTAGTATTTATATCACCAATAAAGACCTCCAAAGTTTCGTTACTCTTCTGCATTTTTGCCCAGAGCTCCTTTCTCAAACGGCCGATTCCTCCCTGGGTGTTAATCTTAAATTTGGTTTCCAATGCCTTGAAAAACGCGTAGGGTTCCTTCATGATATGGAGTAACTCCTGTTAAAGTCGTCGAGAGATCGTATGATAAATTGACTCAGACGCGGCTCCCCGATCCTCTTGAGTAAACGCTTCACGTTGAGTTTCATAGTAGTCGTCGGGTGGTGTGGCGGCTTCGATCAGTTGTAGGTGACCTTGTTTCATCAGGATCATATCCGATTGAGCTTTCCATTTGTCCCGTTGGACCGGCTTATCCAAAATCAGGAATTTAACCTTTGGTTTCAAATCGAAGCTTGTCATTCTCAGAGTAGAGGTAAAACGGACCTGATAAGTTATTGTTCTCAGATATTATAGTATCTTAAAGTGTTTTAAGTTTCAAGTGAATAGTTGTGATTTATTTGATTCGAGTCCCTTCTTTTATATGCATTGGACTCGTAATCCTTGAGGCATTAAAAAAACACCTCTTAAGATGAAAAAGGTTCTCACTTAATCTATGATCCAATCCAAAGGCAGCGTCGCCACGTCTTCAACCGTTCATGACTTCCATTGTAATCTTTGGCCTTATACGTTTAAATTGTACTCCTCCGATATTTAGGGATGCCCTTATGCCCATCAGAGATTTTCTATAATGATGTTTTCGTACTCCCGGCACTTCGACTCCGAGATTAATTCCCATCTGTAATATTTATGTGTCCCTCTCTTAGTTTAGATTCTCTCCTTGGTTGATGCTGGGATAAACCTTGTTGAACCTCCGGTGTTTGACCTTATTTCATGCTTGGTAAACAATCCTGGTTTACTGTGATCATTAGAAACTTAAACTTATCTAAAGGTTTGATAGGTTGATAATTTACGCATTAGACAAACAAGGAAACACCAACACTACAAATCACACACATATAAGAATTGACTAGTCAGTCGGACACTGATCATTTGAGTGTAGGACCTTGAGGTAGTTTAAGTTTTCAGTAAAGGGTCAAGATAATCCCACGGACACAACTGCATCGGAACAACAAGAGCCAGGTCAAAGAGAACACATACAGACGCTAACCTCGAAGATAACGAAGCCGCAGGCAAAGACCCCTTCGTCGACGGAGAGGAAGAAATTCCCAAGTCACCCGAATCCAAGGATCCGGAAGGGTTAGAAGATCAGCCATTTTCATGAAAATCGCCTCCAGCCAATGACCCATCAACGTCGTCGCCACCACACAAGAAAAAAAATGACGGATTCGCGAATGGAATCAATTTATGAACATGATGGCGAAGCAATCGAACAAAATAGGCCTGATGGTTGCTCAAATGGCCACCAACACGGTCAGTGACTCCATCCCGAAAAGTCGTACTGAGAGCGACCGCAAACTACACTCGTGTCAGAACCTAACAGACAACCCTAAAAGAAAAGTCAACCAAAGGTATACCAATATCCCTACAAGATATGAAGAAGGTGCTCGGTGTGAACACAGGAGTCCCTAATCTGCAGAATGTACTCATTCAAGGCGAGAACGGTATGCTGTCATCTAAAGAAGACAAAGAAACATCCAAATCATTCCCTGATTTGTTTGCAAATTGGTCGCCTCATTTAGCCGCATCACTGCTACATAACCCAGAGTTTATGACATACGAATGTATTGCTGACAATCTCAAGTATCAGGCCATGGTATGCGAATACTCCAAGATTATGTATCCAGAAAAAGTTGCTAATCTCGACAAGACGCACCGAGTAGCTGTGGGGCAATATCTGCCCACTCTCGGCTCTCCGATATCGATGCAGCAAAACTAGCCGTTGTGGTCGGCTCCTCCTCGTTCAATCAGGCGCTCAGTTCATGTAAGCACTGCAACTGCGAGACGGCCTTCTACGTATGTGAGAAAGTCAATCCAGTCGCCAAGAACGAGAAAGATCAATATAATGGTCATGGATGATCGACAACGAACCCGTGGGTTTGACGTAGGCAATGCATGCGGGTTAGCGCGTGTATTCGCCTCCGTACGCAAGTTTAAACGTGGTCGCGAGTTCCCTGGAATTCGTTGAGGTCGCGAAAACTTGTCCTGGCGATTTTCTTCTGCTTTGTCAATGTTCACACGGAATACATCACGCATCTTTTCAGACGAGTAGTTTCGCCACTGTGGATGCATTTGAAGAGTATCCCGGTAGTACGCTCCACCTGCAGCTTGGCGTATAAGATTAAGTATACCATGGTTGCGGTATACCTGTAGAGGGTTCTCATACTGTCGCATTTCCATGAACTCCCCCTGGCGTTTAAAATCATGAATCTGAGTATCAAGCACCTGGCGGTATGCATTATCCTCCAAGTCTTGTTCTCGTGTACGTACAATAAAAGCAGTGGCATCCTCAAATGTCATAGACTGTAATTTTTGCTCGTTTTCCACAATAAAACCCAATAGCGCCTTAGGAGCCCCTTCATGCTGTAGAGCTTGGTATAGACCCATTTGCATGTGAATCGGTTCTGGCTTGTGGAATCGCACATTACTATGTTAGTCCAAGATAAAAGCGTGTAACTGTATCTTCTGTGGATTGTCCAAATAATAGCTGCCCTGTAGGTTGGGTGGCCATTCCTTCGGTGTTCATTTGTTGACCGCTATTGAACACGTCTTTAGAGTCTCATTCGACGCACGAATTAGACCCTGTAGCGCACGCGCATCGTCTATGCGTCTGTCTGCTTCTGCATACATCATCCGTTGGGTCGGTTGAAAAACTTACATTTTCATCTCGGCCGCTGTCGATACAGTAATGCTAGCCTCCGTAGGTTCCGAACCTTTATGACGTTTCACTGCTTGTGGGTCTTCCAAGTAGTTGTCGTGATGAACAGGAAGGTGTTTGCGGTATGCAATCGTATCAATAGGGACATTCGCCGCATCCTGAGAATTCTTCTGTAACTCTTCTGGTGAACGTGGTTTACGGTGACGTTGCAACTTATCACGAAATAAGTTCGTTGTCACGTGACTCTGGTTCATCTGTTGCTGCGAGGAGTTCATTACTCTGCGGAAGACATCAAAGAACGCGTTGCCGACGACGATAAATTTCGAAGAGTGTTCATGTCCAAGTGTAAATCCGCAGGTTCCAAAAAAATTCTACCAGGCGATTTCACCAAAGTTTTCGATTTCTGATACCAATCCGGACTATTAGGCGGCATCTCATCAGGTGTCGGAATTGTTTGTACTCGATTTTGAGCATTTGTCAACAATTGCGCTCTGCGAGTAGCATGGACATTATCGTTCGATGCCTGATACCAATCCGAACCATTAACCGGCATCGCATCAGGGGTCAGAATTGTTTGTGTCCGATTTTGAGTGTTCTTCAACAACCGCTCTCTGGGTTCATGAGGTACAGGATTCGTATGTCCAATTATATGTTTCACCGGACTAAGTTGCTTCATGTTGTTAGCCCCGTTGTTGTAATAAGCCGGGCCTCCACATTAGACTCTATGTTATAAACGTACTCTTAAGCAGTACGTAAATTATAAACGTACTCTGAATAGTACGAGGAACTTAAGTTTCCTAAATGTACTCTTAATAGTACGAGGAACTTAAGTCTCCTAAATGTACGCTTAATAGTACGAGGAACTTAAGTTTCCTAAAATGGTTTTAATGGTTTTATTAATTAATACCTTTTCCGTTTTACATATCAGATATTTGGACGAAGCCATTAAAAAGCCTCAGTAAAATACCAAACATAAACAGTTGGTCTAGTTCTATTAATATAACTTTATTTACTTTCCAACTTTATTTATATCTGAATACTTCGGTAGCGAGATGACTCAACCGAATATAGGTTTCTAGGGACTATTAACGTTACCTAGTTGATCCTCCGATCAGCCAACCAGATGTGCCAGTCTGATGAAGGTTAAGCCGGTAATTCTTGATAGTGGCAAGTTATTGGTTAAGACAATAACTAAGGACATCAAGAGTATTTTTATTATTTTATTTGTTCTTTCTAAAGATAGGATTTTATGAGTCTCTCGGATTCGCCCCATATGTTCATACAATGTATCATACATACTTGCTATTAATATAACTTTATTTACTTTCCAACTTTATTTATATCTGAATACTTCGGTAGCGAGATGACTCAACCGAATATAGGTTTCTAGGGACTATTAACGTTACCTAGTTGATCCTCCGATCAGCCAACCAGATATGCCAGTCTGATGAAGGTTAAGCCGGTAATTCTTGATAGTGGCAAGTTATTGGTTAAGACAATAACTAAGGACATCAAGAGTATTTTTATTATTTTATTTGTTCTTTCTAAAGATAGGATTTTACGAGTCTCTCGGATTCGCCCCATATGTTCATACAATGTATCATACATACTTGCCATTTTTGAAGAAATTTTTTTTTTTATCCCTAGTGAAACATACCATAGTTTCTAATAGAGCGACAACGAAACACTAAATATAATCCCTTCGGCGGAAACAGTACTGAGAGGATTATATATAGGCAATGTCTCAGCCTCACAATCCCTCAGCGTATTGCTGTTTTCACGAGGCATACCTAACTTTACTAAAAGTCTCATTTCGTTTATTTACTTTGATATTTACACGATACTTAGAATATACCTATGCGTTTATTTATTCTAAGACATTAGTATCGCCTTTTATTAGACCGAATCTTTCATTGTCAGGTAACTGGAAGGTGGGTGTCAACCCTGTCTGCGTTGGGTATTGAGGTGCCCAATGCTGTTGCACTGTTGGCGCGGCCTGAGTCTCCGAAAAATCCTCATCCACTGTCGCCTGGTCTGAGACCTGGGGCGTAGACGTGTCAATATCTGCCAGTGACAATTCACAGAGTTGGCGGAGTTGCTCTTGAATGAGAGGAATATTTTCCGTGGCCTCCTGTACATGCATCAGCGCATTCAAGTGTCCTTCCTGATCAGAAATTCAATCTGGGAATTGTCTAAGTCTATCCAAGGCTTTAATTGATAATTGGACCTCCGATAGTAAACGGGTCAATTCCACATGGATTTCTACTTTCTTATCGTCTTCGGATGCAGTTTCCTTGGACACAAGTGCTGTCTCCATCATTTTGCGTAGCATGGTTAAACGGCGAAGAGCTCCAACCAATCGTTTCAGCGGCTGGTCACAGGCTTGCTTACTCACCGTAGGCAACAGTCTAGTTTTGGGTCCCGTCGTCGTTGAAAAATAAAATAGAAATAAAAAA